GTGAAAAGCTCTTCTCTTGTGTTTGATTGCTTGGATATGTGTTCTCACCTTTCTTCTAGTATCTTCAACTTGTTTTTATATGTTGGAATGAGTTTGTGGCCATTTCTAGCCATTGGGGATTATTTTTCTGCAAAATAAAACTGCCTAGGACAGGGAGTATCGATACTCCTTTAATGAATATCGATACTACCTTTATAATTTTTAAATAAACTAGTCGTCACTAGCCGTTGGGCTTCACTAATATCGATACTATGATCATGAAATCGATACTACTGTGTAAAGTAGTATCGGTACCCCATGGGTACCGATACCTATTTTGCATTCTAGAATTTGAGCAATTTGAAAAACACATGGTAGTATTGATACTTCTCTTACCTTTGATATCAGTACCACATGAACAATATCGATACTATTCATGCATTATCGATAATGTAAGAACAATATCAGTACTACTTACCCAATAAAACATTTTGTTCTCAAATTCTAGTTTAATGAACTTTGAATTATTTTTGAAAACTTTGAAAAAATTCAATCAAGTCTAAAAATATTTTGCCTTAATTTGTTATATCAAAATATTATAAAACATCGTTCAATAGAGATAATGATATGACTAATAGTTGCTAGCGTGGCATGCCATACCAAAATGACATCGTTTTGGTGTGGCTATTTTTTTTATTAATGGTGTGGCTATTTTGATGCCTAAAACGATATCGTTTTAGGCAGACTTTAACGGTGCATCAAATTTTCCACTAAACTTTTAAACACTTTTCTTATTTATTACTAGACTTTTGGTTATCGTTGACAACCAAACACTGCCCATCACCGATCATATTTTGCAGCAAGATCAATTTCCCATGAAACCCACTCAAAATTGACGAAAATCCATTTAAAAGTTGACATATTAATACCCCTATCTTTTTCAATGATCGTATGATGAAGCTAGTTTTGAGATATGTTATTCATCTTCTCGAAATAATATTTTTTCACCGTTCAAATTTTAGAACAAACACCCAAATTATCGTAAATCTAATAAAGTCCCCAAACATCTAAAAAATTATGGATTTTTTGTTTTATTTTATCGATTTTATGTGTGATTTGTGGAAAACTAATCATACAATAAGAATGAGGAGTGGAATGTGAACATTTTGATACCGATTTTGCTGTGAAAGACGATCAGTGACAGACGATGATTGGTTGTCGGTGATGGTCAAAAAATATTGTGCCAAAAAAATAAAATGTTTAAAAGTTCAGTGGTAAAATCGATACACCCCTAAAGTTTAGTGTCTAAAACGATATCGTTTTAAGCATCATAACAACCACACCAAAACGACATCGTTTTGGTCTGACATGCCACGTCAGCAACCGTTAGCCATTTCATCATCTTGTTAGTGACTTAACGACAGAGTGACATAATTGAATATAAAACTAAAGTTCAGTGCTATAATTGATAAAATTGAAAGTTTAGTGATATAAATGAGTCAAGAGGTAAAGTTCAGTGATTTTATATTAGTTTTCTTAAATCTTTATTTGTGAGTGATGTGACATGCTGACGGTTGTGATTTGGGTATAATAAGCACATGTGAGGGTGTTATTAGTGCATAAAATTGCAGGCACCCCAACTTTTGACCTTTGCCCAAAAGTAGATAGATTCGGTACATTAGCATAGAAAGGCGTGAGGCGTGTGCAATTCCGTTAATCTTTCACCTCCAATTTGGGTAAAAGGATACTTCCCAATCTTTCTTTTCATTCACTGTTACAGTGGACCATTCATTGTTTTAAACAGTAACACCGCCCCCATTGATTTGTTGACTCTCGTGCTCTTTTTTCCTTAAAAAAAAAAGTTCACTTCTTTTTGGATTCTTTTCTTTTTGAGAGTGCCTTAAAGTAATATTTTTTATTATTAATCGAAAATATTATAAAGAGTATAATATTTTAAATTGTGTCTAATTTAAAATATTTTTTTTATATTTTTGATTGTGTCAAAAATTATAAATTTTTAATCTTAAATTAAATTGTGGTCCCTTATACCTTCCCTTAAATGTGATTCTGAACTGTGTTCCAATCAAAACATTGTGTTGACAGAACGAAAACTTTAATCAAACATTGAATGTACCAAAATTTTGATGTTCCGTCGTTTGGAATTTCGTTGCTGACGATGTTTGTCTCAGTGGATTTTAATCAAACAGTTGGTGGCCATTATCTATAGGTGGAAACTTTGTCAATTTAGACGGTGATTATAGACATCATAATGGTGATTTTAAAATCAGTACTACATGTGTGATTGGATTCTAAACATAATAATGACATTGAATTGAAATTAAAACAATAAAAAAGTAAAGTACACTGACCCCAATAATAATATATTACTTTTTTAAATCATATTAAAAATTACAAAACAATCTCCTTATTATAAAAAGTTGTTTTTTTTGAATTTACTATTAAAAGTTTTAAAATGGTCACCAGACTATTTATTATGTTTTAAACTCGTTATTTTTCATTTAAAAAATAATGATTGTCTGAGTTAAACGCTAACATTTGGACTGAGATATAATAGTCGTTTGATATTATGAGACCAAATTTTACCTTATATCATTTAGTAGGATAATGTTCAACTCAGATTATGGTCAATTTTTTAACTAAAAAGGATGGGTTTGAAACATAATGAATAATCATGTCACCATTTTGTAACTTTTAATAGTCGAATGACTCAACAAAGCAACTTCCTATAGTTGAGGATCATTTTATAAATTTTAATAGTCGAAAGACTCAATAAAATAAAACAATATCTTATAGTCGGAAATCATTCATGTAGTTTACCCTCAAAGAACAATATGGAAATTAAATTAAGTGAACACACGTATAATACAAATTTATTAAATAATCATTAGAATAGATTTATTTTTTACAGTAAAAGAAGCTTAAAAGGGGTTGGGTGAGATTGGAAGAAATCCCCACCAAAATGCTTCTTAGATTTTTCTGGTGGGTTGGATAAGATTAGTTTTATAATTATTCTTATAAGGTGCAAATGATGTGGAAATTGACACTTCTCTAATTGCAAATAGGGGTGTGCATTATCATATATCAGATATTATTCGATCCGAATTTTCGGATATCCAAAAATTTTGTATACCTAAAGTAATAATCCGTATCCGATTCGAAAAAATTGGATATCCGAAATTTCGGATCGGATATCCAAATATCCGGATCCGTTTTTTTTTTTTTTTTTGCAACAACGTCTTAAATTCTCGGCGTTTATTCTTTAACTTAGAAGATGCTATTCTCATTCAAGTTACCTTTTGTCTTTAACATAGTTCTTTCCTTTGAAGATAATAGCATAGAGGTTGCCATTTGTGTAAAATATATTAACTGTTAACTAGAAACTCCTCAATACTTGAGTATTGTATCTGTCGGAGTTTATTCTTTTCAGTGGTGCTTGGTAACTTTTATACTTTCAATTGCTTATGTTACAGTTGTGAATCTTCCTTCAGGTTCGTCTGCTGCTGACTGGTCTCAAGATGGAGACTACCTAAACTGGATGGATCAGAATATGTTTGATGCAGAAGATGCTCAAGACGTTAAGAGATGGTCCTCACAGCCACATCTTTCTTCAACACCTGTTCCTGAATTGAAGCCTTTGTGTAGAACTTCCATATATCCCAACAGCAACCACAGCCACAACACTTTTCAAGTGAACCAATTGTTGGATCCAAATCATCCTTCACGTCTTTCCCCCTCCTGGTATCAGATGTGGAGCTCTTATCCTTTGCAAAATTTCACTTCGATCATATGCTATAATGCATTCCAGGAATGGATATAAACTTGAAGAAAATAGCCCTAATTTTTTTCGGGTTTTCGGATAATCCGAAAATAGTTTTTACCGGTCCGTATCAGATCCGATAATCCGAAAAAAAAATTCGGATATCCGATCCGAACTATCTGAAAATTGAAAAGCAGATCGGATATCTGAATTTTCGGATCAGATCAGGTTTTTTTGCACACCCCTAATTGCAAATATGTAGTTAATTATAGATAACATAAATGATGTGGAAATTGACAATTCTTTGAATTCAAATATATATATAATTATAAACAACATAAATGATGAGTTCGTATTCGTTGGTTCTATTCACAAATATTAAAGTTCAAACATCTAATCTTATTTAGAAAATTTAATACTTCATCTCACTAAACCAATTGATTATTAATGATTTCAGGTTACATTTATCTATCTTAAACATTACATCAAGTTGGGTAAGCTAAAATGACACTTCATTAACGCATAAATAATAAAGTTTATCATTCCAGATTTGATTTTGGGTGATGAAAAATTTACTTTTTACTAATAATCGATTGATTTAATGAGATGATGTATTAAATTTTTAAGTAAAACTAGAAATATGTATACTAGCGTTTGCAAATGGAATAAATACGATTTAAAATAGTCTATTAATAGATTAAATACTAGTGATTAAAAAAAATATGTTTTTAATTTTTTTAAATGAAGAACACGGTACTTAATATTCATTATTTCATTTTATTATAATTATTTTTTATAAAACTTTTATTTCAGTTTTTATATTTTTAATTTTCTTCTAATTTATTTCTAAAAAAAAGAAAATAAAGTCGTCGATTTACAGACAATTTTATCAAAAATTAATTCCAACTTCTAACGACTTTACCTAAATTGAAAAAATATATCTGTTTCCCTAATTAATTGGATATCATCTTTAAAATTCTAATTTTTTCTCAACATTCATTTCCTGAATTTTAGGGACCTTAATTTTTCTCTATTCGCGTTAAATTTCATATTTCTTTGTATAATTCATATTATTTGATTTATTAATCGATCGATCGAAATTAAGAACATGATTTAGAGATGATCCTTTCAAAATCGTAAAACAAGTTTAATACAATTTAAATTAACAATAAAGGTTGTATAAGGATTACTTTAGATAAAATTTTAAATGATTGAGAAACTTAAATAAGTAATTTTCTTTCTTTTCAAGTGATAGAGAGAAAAGGAACTGAATCCATTTGTCCTAAAAAAAGAACATGTTATTGCTCCTCGTCCCACTTGGACCTCAACAGTTTCAGCAATACCGTCGCCTTTGTTTTTATCCGACAGCTACACTGGCTTTGTAGCAGCAACAACAACTGTGACAAAACCCCGGCAGCTATGGCATTTTCCCTCGCCTGCAACGATTCACAACACACCGTAATCAACGAGTTCAAAGCACTTTCACTCCCTTCATGATCCGACACCCTGAAAACCATCTTAACCACCGCTTTAACACCTTGGGGATCCTTTATCAGTGCCTCTTTTGCTTTCTCCATCCCCATAACTTGTTCTATCGTCGCCATTGCTGTCACAGCCGCCGCCGAGCTTCTTTTCTTCGTTTCCGAGTTCAAAATATATGTTACCAGGCCATTGATTAGGCCATGTCGGACCAATTCTTCCCTGTTTGATTCCAAGAAACACAATGCCGAGACGGCTTCGATCCCGGCCTTCGATGTCTCTGAATTCTGATGAATAAGATCAACGAGCCGATGTAAAAACCGACGGTCTTTTCCGATCATTTCGCAAAGTTCCGTGGTTTCCGAAGATGCCGAGATTGCCCCAACAAGATGACACAAACTTTGCTTGATCATGGCAGTGCCATTTTCGAATAAAACCACAAAAGATTCCATCTTGGACTCTTCTTTAAGCATATTCAAACACCCGAATTCGTCGAAAGACATCAGCTTTAGAATACAATAAAGCAATTCCTCCGTAAATCCAGGGTCCAATTTCCCGAAAAGCAATTGTAAAAGTAAAGGCAGTAGACCTGTTTGAAGCAGAAAGGGAATCTTACAGGGTGCTTCATCTATCAAAACTCTGATTTTTTGCAGTATTTGAAGTTTCTCTTGTGAGGTAGCTTGAGGGGATTCAAGGCCGCGATTCATGCAGAATAAAGGGTCGATGGTGGTTGAGTAATCCGGGTGGAATGGTTGAGCCATTTGACGCCATTGTTGAATGAAATGACGAAGATTATGATTGGGAACAAGAGATGGATCGTGGAGCTTTTGCATTGTGACGGGACAGGTGAGATTGCCGTAAGCGAACCAGTTTTCGATGCTGGATCGATCGTAGGTTTGGCCGGTGGATAGAGTGACGGGATCCGATAGCAAATCCAGGCTGATTGGGCATCTAAATAAGTGAGGAATTCCCATTTGATCTTCTTTCATGGAAGGGAGAAAACTCAGAACTAGAAAGAATGAACGGAAAATGAAACTCATAAAAATGAGAGGAGGCCAAGACAGGGATTATCTCAGCTTGAAACTGTGAGATAAATGTAGTTTTATTTGTGGGATATGGTCCCCCACTTTGCTCAATGCTCATATTATTATTATTATTATATATATAGTCAAACCGTCCCATCTAGGAAAAAATTGAGTGTATTAAATATGAATAAATATTATATTATAAAAAATATTGAATTCGTTTTTTTTTCATAGCCGCAGTTAGATTCTTTTATTCTTTATTTTTTGATCGACGACGGCATTAATATTGATATTGATTATCGATCATTGGTATTTATTATTATTCTTTTACTTTGTTATAGCGTATCTTTATTTTTTTAATAATTATGCCTTGTTGGCACATATTCTTTTACTTTTATGGCATATTTTTTCTATCATTATGACACGTTTTCGGTTATTTAGTTATTGTTTTCGTTTATTTTTCAGGGTTGAGTTTGACATCACCACGAGTGATAAGATGACGCTTATTTGTTATCATGATAATCTTTCTAGCTTTGGACTTTTAGATTAAATTTGGATATTCGATTTGCATTTGTAGATAGTATTTTCACATCGCTCAATTTTGATTTGCAGTATGTCGATGGTCTTTCAATAGATTTATTCCGTTTTATAGTTTGTTTGCCGATGCAGTCAAATAGATTCGTATTTATCTCTTGTTCGAGTTTATTTGGTTAGATTTTTTAATATTTTTCGTGTATGGTCTTTGTTTCTTAAGTATCTAATTTTCTGTATTTAGTAAAATATTTTTATTATATGTTTAGTTTATAATTATGGTCATAAACCTTTATTATAATTTAGATATTTTTTATTGTCAATAAAATTAATGAATTCTCGAAAAAAAAGCAAATTAATTCGTTTATATACAAAACCAAAACATTGGGTGGGTCTATTTCGGATAATAATCCAACATGAAATCATGATATCATTATACCATATAAATATAATATAAAAAGTTAATTAAAATTGTTATGAGAAAATAATACATGATGTTTTCATTTTAATAAAAATATTTAATATGATACATATATTTTTAAAATATCCAATACAATAACTGTACTTTAAGTAAAATATAACCAATTTAGCCCTTTTCTTTTATTTATTATAATTTTCACATAATATAATAATATCAATTTAAATTTAATGGAAAAAAGTTGTATGTGGTTAAATTTTTTATTGATTAATTTGACACCAACAATGTAATCCTTATGTATCATAATAATGCATGAGATAATAGTTACTATTTTAATAATATTGTATTAAATATTTTATCAAAGTACGTAATATGGAATATTTTAATTTTTATTAGTTCGGGTGAATATAAAGTAGTGTTTATCTGAAAGACTTTCAATTATTTGACAATGAATACTCATACAATTTTGTAAATGCCGTGTTCAATTCTAGAACCTCAAGAGATAACAATAAATCTTTAATTAAAGTCACTTAATTTATACTCATATTAAACATCTTAAAAGTATATATATTATATTAAATATTTTATGAATAAAAAGTAAAATTAACCTAATATTAATTAATAACACATAAACAATATTTTTAACTCGTTATAAAGTACAAAAACAATTATATAATTAGTCTATCAAAATAATCATTTGAAATAAATACATAATTCTGATATATATATAATTTTTTCTGAGAAAAATAATATGAATTACTCGCACTGATTTCGCGGGGTGTTCCCCTTTCCTTCTGCCATGCTGTCTTCTATACGAGTCCTTCCCCCTTTTCCCCTCTCATTTCTTTTTATGTGATTATTTCAAGGAATTCTTTAAGACCATTGGATTAATCAAACAAACGAACAAAGATCATGAATTTTTCTTCTTTTAATTTCCGGTAACAGCTAAAAGCTGGAATTTCCTTCTCTTTTCGGATCGGTTCATTTTCTATTTTGTTTCCAGGTATCTTCTTTTTTTATATTCTCTGCATGTTGCCTATCAAATGCAATGCCCACGACATTTTATATATATTTCATTGGCATTGTTTCACTAGATCTCGATGTTCCTAACTGTAATTTTGCAATTTCCGATTATCTGCTTCTGTACTCTGTTTATATATGCTAGTGTTTCTATGTAATATAGGAAGAAAGAAAACATATCAGGTATTCTGGTTTATTGATACAAGAAATAGTAATAGCAGATAAAATTTGAAGGATCAAAGAAAGAATATAATTTAATGAGGCTGAAAAACTTATTTTATTTTATTAATATTTGAAGGAGTGTAAACACGTGCATAGGAATACTAGTAACAAAAGAATAATAATGCATAATTTTTAAAAGCCTTTTTTTTTGTTTAATTTTCAAAAGCAATTTTGGATCTCATTCGATATGCATTAGCTTCTACGTATTTAAGTGTATTTCTGATTTATTTTATGTTTTTAAATTTAATTTCAGGTGTGAAATTTTGAAGATTTGATTAGTGAAAGAAGGGAGTAGTGATCATGGCATTAGGAAAATATGGTAGAGTAGATAATAGTACTACCGGTAATCGGAGGTCATCATCTTCGAGTTATGGTTCCACTGTCACCAAAGTGGTTTTCGTGGGATTTTGTTTAGTTGGACTCTGGATGATGAGTTCGTCCTCGGTTGTCCCCGATCAAAACATGGACGATGTGGCTCATGAAAAGAAAATCCATATCGATGACCAGGTATCACCGGTAATCAATAATAGCAATGACAGAAGCAACGGCGTTCAGTTCGAAGATAATCTCGGGATGTACCTGAGGATGCCGGGAAAGGAGACTTGAATGTGAGTCTGGCTAGATGATGACAAGGGCACTGGCAACTTAAATACACAAGAAAACAATGGGAATACTGAAGAGAGTAAGTTGGATGAGTCTGAGAAGGATAAGAAGCAATTGGATTCTGAAGTTGAACGGACAAACAACAATAGTGGTGAGAATTTTCCCAAGGATGCTAGTGGGGCTAAAGATGGCGGTACTGGAAACTTAAACACACCAGAAACTGAAGAGAGTAATTCAGGTGAGTTTAAGAAGGATAGGAAGCAATTGGATTCTGAAAGTGGACAGACAACAACAACAGCGGTGAGAATTTACCCAAGGATGCTAGTGGGGCTAAAGATGGTGGTACTGGCAACTTAAACACACCAGAAACTGAAGAAAGTGAGTCGGATGAGTCTAAGAAGGATAAGAAGCAATTGGATTCTGAAGGTGGACAGACAAGAGTCAGTGGTGAGAATTTCTCCAAGGAGACTCGAATGTGAGTCTGGCTAAAGGTGATGGTACTGACTACCTACATACGCAAGAAAACAAGACCACTGAAGAGAGTAACTTGGATGATTCTAAGAAGGATAAGAAACTGTTGGACACTGAAGGTGGACAGAGAAACAACAATGATGAGAATTTGGGTGGATCAGGGGGTTCTGAAGAGAATCCCAATGACAAAAAATCTGATCCGGGAGAGAGCAACGAGAAAGCTGTCTCTAATGAAAATGACAAGAAGTCTGATTCTGGTAGTGGAGAGAAGAAACCAGATGAAAAATCATCTGAAACTAATGTTGATCAAAATGAAAAAAATGAGTATAACAAAAAGGATTCTGAAGGTGGACTTTCAAACAACAATAGTGGTAAGGATTCTGAAGTGAATCCTGATGAAAAAAAGTCTATTTCAGAAGAGGGCAACAATAATGCTGTCTTCAATGACAAGAATGTCAATAAATCAGATTCTGGTGGCGGTGAAAAGAAACCAGATGAAAATTCCTCTGGAACCAATGGAACTAAGGTGGTTGGTCAGATAGAGGGTAAGGTTGATCAAAATGATTAAAAGGAGTTGGATAAAAGCTCTGGCGAGGCAAAAAAATGATCCTCTAGTGGAAAACCAGAGTTTAAATGAAGTTTCCTCCTCTGGTGCTCAGTCTGAACTTTTGAGTGAAACCAGTACTCAGAATGGATCATTCTCTACTCAGGCTGCAGTATCAACAAATGAAAAGAAGACTCAGTTAGCATCCAAGGAATACATTTGCATATCTACTGCTGGGCCTGATTTTATCCCATGTCTTGACAATTGGAAGCAATCAAGCATCTCCGTACCAACAAACATTATGAACATCGAGAGAGGTATTGCCCGGAAGAACCACCTACCTGCCCTGTTCTTCTTCCTGAAGGATATAAACGCCCAATTGGGTGGCCAAAAAGCAGAGAGAAGGTACTTTACTTCACATTTGCTGGTTCACTTTTTCGCTTTAATTCTATGCTTGACGAGATGAATTAACGAATGAGTTCCTGCTGCTGCAGATCTGGTATCGTAACGTTCCCCATACTCAGTTGGCACAAATTAAGGGTCATCAGAACTGGGTTAAAGTAACTTGAGAGTACCTCACATTTCCTGGTGGTGGAACTCAGTTTAAGCATGGTGCTCTTCTCTATATTGACTTCATAGAAGAGGCGAGTGCTCAAAATGATTCTATTGTCTTCAAACTTCAGTATTTTATTGTATCGTTCATTACGGTCTCTCACCCCCTTCTTGTGGTCTCTACTTGTTGAATAAGTTTTGAGTTGTTTGCAGACATTTTTATTTAATGTTCAAAAACATGTGCGTTTAGTTTTCATGAATGATAACGAGAAGTGCCATTTTTGTAAATTTTGCTCATTTACAGCTCTAGACGTTTTATTGCACGAATCTATTTACAAATATTTGATATGATTTAAAAAGAATGCTTTCTTGGCATCCATGGCATTCCATGTTGCATTTGAAAAATGATGGCAGTAAGCAGTGTGACTTCAATGCAGGGTTTCCTCTCCTGCAATTTGTTCTTTCAACTTGTGCTTAATGTTTGACTATTATTCTGCAGTCTGCGCTTGATATAGCCTGGGGAAAACACTCTCGTGTGATACTGGATGTTGGATGTGGGGTTGCCAGCTTTGGAGGTTTCTTTTTGACAGAAATGTGCTTGCTATGTCATTTGCACCA